AGATCGTCAGCTTCTTGTTCTCGCTCTATGAGTCGGTGGCTGAGGTGATCCCTGACGTGAGGGATGACAATGATCAAAGCGTGGTTTTGGAACCGTATGAGCTGGAATTGAAAAACAGATTGCAGGCACATCTGAGCCGTTTCCCAAGGCCAAAGTGAAAACACTGTCAAGGGTTCACACCAAGCGGAGAGGTGTGAAGATGAACCCTAATCGGATGAGCGCTGGGATTGAATCCGATTCGCATGAAATTAGATAATATTTGCCTCCTGGCTCGATGAAGGGTTTCTGGGAGCAATACAAGATGCTCTCCAAAGAGGAGAAGCCAGCAGGGTTCCCAGGTTCCCAAGCTTTTGGAAGGTTGGGGGCTGGGTGGGTTATTAACACCAGAGGTTGTCTTGATTCATTGCCTCAAGCATGTGTGGCAGATTTTTGAGATATTTCAATGTAGATTCCTCACGTTTTGGATGTGAGACAACAGCCTTTTGACCACCGCGCCAAACATTAGACCAGAGTGTGACAACTTGGAGATTGTTTCGCATTCCTTCTGCTTGATGCAGGGATTAGATGCAGGGTTTGAAAAATCAGGTGCCCATCCGTTCTTGAGTTGCGTCTGTTTGACATTGGTTTTCATTCCCACCAGAAACCATCTGTGTTTGTTTGTGGCGCGGAACAGGTTTATAACATGAATTCAATCTTTGGGCAATGTTCGTTTTGAATCGTGATAGCCAGATGTTTGCGCTTCGCCTGACAGGTTTGGTTGTCGGACTTCTCTTTCATGCGCATCCGAGAGGATGGACAACACGCCGTTTGCAGTACCTGCATTCGACATCAAACCATGCTGCGAGGATTGGGCGGCCACATCAGAGGTCGCAAGGAACAGCTTAGGCTTAGGCTGTTCCATGCCCATCTACTTGATCAATACAGCGAGGGAATTTCGTGGCTTGAGCCGCTTGCGGAGCCATACCGTGACAATCATATGTGACGGTATGGACCAATCGAAGTGGGACCTTCCGAGGAGCCCCTACACCAAGGCAAAGGAATTTGCTTCGATGCAAAAAGTTAGAATGCATGTGGCGGCATGCATATGCCACGGACATAGCTGCGTGTTCTACGTCAGCGCTTCCGACACCCGCAAAGACGGGAGCGCTTCAGTGGAAATGCTGGCTCATATGCTGACAAGACTGCAAAGGAAGGGTGTTCCTTTGTCCCAGACACATCTAGTGCTGCAGCGCGATAATACGCGCAGGGAATTCAAGAACCACTGTGGACTCAGATTCTGTGCCTCCCAAGTCTCTTCAAAGAACCTCGCGAGTGGCGAGTGTGACCTGTTCTTTTTTAAGAACAGGTCACACTCACGAGGATATCGACCAGGTTTTCTCAAGGTGCGCAAAACACCTTCGCAGAGTGAGGACTTTGCAGTCGCCCGAAGACGTATGCAAGACCATTGCTGAGTTTTTGGAGCGTACGCCCATGCCCTTTGAGGAGGAGAAGGTTGTGGTCAGAATGGACACGGTGCGAGATTGGACGCTCATCCCATTTGTTTTACTAGTGGGGTTTGTTGAAACACTGTGGATTTTAGATCATGTTCGTGACATTGTCCCATTGGGTGCACTGAGCTTGCTTTCCAATTCTTGTATGTTCTTTTGTCAGACGCATCGAATCCAACAGCCGGCCAATGTTTCTCAAATTCAAATCCCATTTGGCGCCCAACTTCGCCACATAGTCATGAGTGACACAAAACATGTTTGCTCCAATTTGGTGTGATCAACGGTTGGGTTGCCAAGGTCCGGCTTCTATGCAGCCGGTGTTCCCTTCCGTCTCACTGGCATTGGTGGTGGCGGTGCTCCCCATGGGTTTCAAATGGAACGACGAGCTGACACAGCTTCCTGCCCTGAACATTGCCTTTGAAGCGATAAGTGGGTAGTGTGTCGTCGCGTTGCTGTGCCATCAAGGTCTTCAGACGGATGAGATTTCCTCCTCTTTTTGGGGTTATGCAGAACACCCAGACGATGTGATTCTCAGGACCCTGCCATTCACTTTGCTACATTCTTAGCAGCTTACCTCTGAGTCTTTGTTCACCTTGTTCACTTCCTATTTGCATATCAGATTCACTTATGACAGAGAGTGCTGTTTATGTTTTTGGTTTGATCGGATAGCCAGTAAAATGCAATGCAGATAGCGTCTTGCTCAAGGACTCGGCAAGCACTTTATACCGCAATGTATTTTTGCACGTCCTTCCAGGTCAGCGTGCATGGTGTCAACAGATTTATCACCATATGCGTCTTGCCAGGACCAAGCAGTGGATGTCTAGCAAATACTTCTCGGAGACGTTGCTCCTTTATCCACGTCAACTGGCCTTGGACCGCCTTCCGCTGGGCTTGCCCGCAGGCTTCGTCGCATGGTGTTCGCTAAGTTAGGGATGTGGTATGCCAATGTGTGGGGAGCGTGTCATGCATACGGACTGTTTGCGGAGGTCTGGCTCCGAAAAGAGAGATCTCTGCTGAGCAGCAGAAACAACTTCGCAAGTACCTGCCAGCGTTGCGCTTCCCGTTGTTTGAGTTGTCGAGGGCAGCAGATTGGATTGAAAACTGGTTGGATGGTACTTGGATGCCATCTCCGTTGCTGGATGTCAGAGCGTGGAGTGCTCAGCAAATCACACTTTGTACATCTACCAGCCCTTCTTTCCAAGACATTCTAACATCATCATATTATATTTGCGAGTTCCAAAGTCTGCGGTTTTTTCCTGTTCAGTGGCAGCCCAGTGAGGTGCATGATCACACCAGGACCACGTGAATTTGTCAGTATTGCTGGTGCGCCATCTCCAGAGAGCTTTTTGATACAGCCCAATCGGATACGGTTTCTTGTATGTACACATAGTGCGCATTGTCTTGGTGCAACCTGCAGTGGTGGTTCGTTGTTTGGCACCGTGTCTTATGCGCAGCCCCCATGGTTTGCCTTAGGTTGCAGGCAGCCAACAGGGATGATGTAACTACGGTGTCGAATTATGTCAAGCGCACCCGCAAGCAGATCATTTACAAGGCTGCAGCAACTGCATGGGCACACGGTGTGCCATGGGCGCACGCGCTCGATGTCGCAACAAAGGCAGTGAATAAAGGTCAGGAGTCAGCTAGAAAACCTTTGGTCAAAGCCAAAGGTAAAGGGAAAGGCCGTGCCAAAGGCAAAGGCAAGGGACGGTGACAGGCCAGCCAAACAGGAAGCGTCATGTGTCAATTGTCTTTCAACTTATTTCTCATTTGATGTCCTTCACACATGTTACATTCCAAGCAAATCACCGACATCCTAAACCCTAAACATTGCCGGCATCCTAAACCCTAAACGTAGCGAGCCTCAAAAATTTGGGTGCGGCAGCGTAGTTTAGGGGGCTAACTATTGGATAGACACATTAGATATCAGTCACTATCTCTCAGCTTTTGAGGGCACATCCTGGGCGACGAATCCCACCTGGTATCAGTCACTAACTCAGGGTTTGCGCCAAGATTTAATGATTTCATAACAGGAAAAAACTTGACATGTAACACCAAGGTATCTGGAAGTGACCGATCCCAGGTGGGATCCGTCACTTCGACATGTGGCGGGGTAAGGCCTGGTTAGTGACCGATGTGGTTGGTTCATCGTGGTAATCATTGTGATTTTATTCTACTTTCTAAATGTTGGATTTGAGACCGGGGTCATTAGATCATTGACTCATATGAAGTGACGGATCTCGTTGACATCAGTCACTTCGACTCATTGGTTTGAAGTGACGGATTCCATCCTAATCCGTCACTTCCGGAGACATCCTTGCAATCCAAATCCGTCACTTCATATTCCTCTCGCAATCTAAATCCGTCACTTCATACTCCAAAGGTTTTGTTTGGACGTGCCTGGGAACCTCAACAGGATGATTGTTGCTTGTGCAAATATATGATGCAAACACCTTTGAAGGGCGATACCTCTTTCATGTGGCTTCCTGGCGTTCTCGTCACTGACAGTTGTTTCACCGATGATTGGTGTGGGACGGTCCGATTCAAGCAATTGTTAAATGTTCAGATACTGACTACACGACAATGTATCACTTTCCTTTCAAACTTTGCTTCCTCAGGGTTTATACTTTTACGTTCGCGATCCACTGATCAGATCAATGTCAAACGCCCACGCAAGAATGCGCTACCAAGCCAAATTGATGGCAAACATCAGCAACAGACAAAACAAGCATCGAGAGTGTGCTTGAGCTGTGTGCAGCTTCACTGTCAGGTTTCTCCTCGTGTCTTGGGTGATTTTTTGTTTGAATCCGCAAGATTTCTTCAGCGTCAACGTGCTGTTGAAACGTTCTGTGTTGTTGCGCTGGTGAAACGCTTGGCATGGCAAGAAAACGGAAGTCTGAGGGCGGCGTCAGCCCAAGTGAGAAAGCCAGCAAGACGGCCAATCCGAAGCGGTTGACGCCGGAGCAAACGCAAGAGAATCCATGGATATCACATGGTTTTTAGCCTGCACCACATGAGTGTGAGAGGAGATGTTAGGACTTACGAATTCCATGGTTTGTAAAAGTTTGCGCATGGTAGGTTTGTTTCTAAAGTATATTGGTGGCTCCTGTGAGGTTCCAATCGAAAGTGTTGCCTGTGGGTGGCCCAGATGCTTATTTGAGCAATGTCTACGACGCAGAGGCGTGACTCATTTCCTTGCTGAAGTTTTTCCATTTACTGAGCGCCTCAACTTTGCGCTTGTCAGGGTAGGTTGTGGGCGCCAAATACCTTAGCATGAATGTCGCATCCCTTGGACGATTGATTTCACACACCCCTCGCACGACAGGCAAAACAAATGGAATTTGCACAGTGGCTGAACAATTTTTGCCCACCAAATTCAGAGCCAGGTCACCAAAAGTTTTTCAGTGTGCATTCCCATTCTAGAACCGCGAAAGAAAGCAAAAGTTTGTGAGACCATGACCAAGGTCGACATATGCCACAGACTACAGCAACGGCACCACGTGCCTGAGACCTTACATGCTTAGTTGGAGATCAGATTCAGGCTGCAGTGGGTTCGTGGAGCCAGAGATTGGATGCACCTGCATAGAACTGTTGTGCACGGAAGGGTTCCTGGGTTGCTTTGTGCATTCTGTGTCATTTTACCCAGCAGAGGAATTGATTCACAGGTACTTCCAACTCGAGTTCGGACACATGTCTCAGGTTTTTGTCGGACCCTGACGTCCCTGGGTGCAAACGTTTGGCGTGCACCAAGATCCCAGAGACATTCATGACTGAGAAGTACAAAGAACTTCCAAGTCTTCCAGGTACCTTTGATTGGCGTTTAACTCCAAAGTAAACAGTGATTCAGGCACAGGCTTTCTTCCGAAAGACATATGTTTGTGGTGGCGTATGGATTTGCGCGTGAGCAGCCCTCAGGAACGCAGTTCATTCCTTGCTTCTCTGTCGGCTATGTGAAGGGCTGGAAACGTGCAGTGATTGCGTTCAACATGTAGCGCATTCAGTGAAGGCCGGCCTGTATTGTACTTTTCGAAAATGACTTCCTTCTTTGTATTGTTCAAGTTTGTCAACAATGAGCAACCGTCCGTTTTGCAAGGCCTCATTTGGCTGTTTGCAAGCTTCATTTGCTCACTACAAGGATGTGCGGGCGCAAGTGCATGCCAACCGAGGTGAGGCTGATGGTATGGTTCACTCCACAGCTGAATTAAATACGATGTGCAAATTGGATGGCACTCGGAACGTCAATGTGGCAGTGTTGGTTTCGTTGCAGGTGCATCTCTCATTGAGGATGCCACCACGACCCGGTTGAATTGCTTTGCGCTACGGCGACAGGTGCTGATTTTGCAAAAGGCTGGTGTGGGAGTACTGAACGGCAGTTCTCTGAAGCTTGCTCTGAATCTAATTCAATGTTGATCGTTTGCCGTGGGTTTCTCGTTCTTGACAGCCTTGCGTTGACCTTGCAAACATTTGTAGTTTGTTGCTTGGAAAAGATACAGTATACTTCAGCAGTATGATATCAAAGATGTCTCAAACTTTGTTAGCAGTTGCCCTGTGTTAGTTTCTCCTGGAGATAACATTGGAGGCAGGTCAACTAACTATGTTGATTGATTTACGTGTGAGGAATGGCAATCTGCCAACTCCATTGCCAGAGCCTTCCAATTAGGCCGAGCAGAATCGGCGGCAGTGAACAATTTGGTTCACAAGATCCCTGCGGATGTGACTGCTTTCTTGGAGAAGTCTGTAAAGAGCAGAGGCATGGTCAAATACTTGAGCCACGACATAATTGGCAAGGACTTGCTAAACGAAGCTTACACCAGTGGTGTCGGCAACTTGGAACATTGGAAAGATGAGCTACGCAATGGCTCGGACCAGAAACTTGTTGCCTGATCCATTTTGATGAATACGTTTTTCAGCAAACACCATGACAGCAAAATAATTGGAGCATTGCAGGAGGTATTTCGCTAATTTTCGTTTCGATGATAGATCAATGGCAAAACCCATCGTCACCATGCATTTTTCCAGTTAGTTGTTGCAAACGATGAGACCACGAAGTCCAAAGCTATCTTTTCCATGGCGCATTCAAATTGTGTGAAACTGGGATGTTTTTCTTTTGAGATGCAGCATGGTTGAGGCAGTACTCCGCCCACCATGCGACGAGCGTTCACTGAGAAGCAGGGGATCTCCAAACACCAAGCAACAGGTGCTTTCTTGCACTTCCTGAAAGAATTCAGCAAGGTTTGTCCAGCTGCAGAGCTGGAACCCATCGAGCAGAGTTTGGTCAGTCAGTGCCTTTCTGGATACATGGATTGCGACCTACAACACGCCCTGGAAACTCAAGTACCTCCTGGAGATTGCGCTACAATTTCCAGCTTCAGGTGCCGGGTTTCACGAAATGTTTGACGATGTGGTTCCACGTCATTTGATGCTACCATGAGTAAGTTCGAGGGCATTTTTTCCAGCAAACATTACACCGAGTGCAGGCCTTACATGGCTGACATCCAGAAGGCCAAGCGAATCCGAGCAGAAGAACAGGAGATGGAAATTGAACGTAATTTGAGAGAAGCCGATCTCAAAGCGGTCCTTGCCAAGCTCGACAAAGATTTGGGTGTGTTGAGCGAACGTGCAGCATCCAGTCACTCCGAAGCAATGAAACATGCCCAGGATTTGAAATATCTACGTGGGAGACAGAAGCAACTCGCTGATAGTGTTCAGTCACATTTTGTTTCGTTTCTTTGCGTTCTAGTGAGGAGGGTTCGTGTCAAAGTCAAATCACACGCAGATTGATTCTGTGAAACTTGAGGCAGGGAGAGGAATACACCAACGACTGGTTCAAGAAGAATTGTTGCGTCATCCAAGTGGATGAGACCTACCAGGGTGCTATTTCTGGCTTTTTGCAATTTCGTGAGCAGTTTCGTGGCCGAGTGGGCAATGAGCAGCTAAGATTGTATGGTCAATGTGTCCTTTTTTGCATAGTCATTTTTTGGGAAAGGCTAGAAGACCGTGGCCAAAGTTGAATTTAAAGCTTCAACTTGCAGGTATGTCCTTTGCAGTTTCGATTCGACTGTATGGCCTGCGAACGCGAATGTCGTTGTGAACTCCATCCAGGTCACATCCTAGCTTCTGGGAATGAATTCCTCCCACATGGCCTTTGTGCAGTTTCCAGTGTTGCACACGCAGACAACTGTGCAAGCGATGGTGAAGCACAAACACCAGCTGGAGCTTTCGTTGATGAAGCATGGAATTGCAGTGCAACACCTGGTGCAGATCCTGTACACCAAGCCGGATGCGCGTGGCAACGACTCCAGAGGATTGTCGCAGCCTGCTTTGCGCGCATTCCACACCAATTACTCTGAGCCTGCTTTCTTAGCTTCCAGTGCCTTGAAGCAAGGCAAGTTGGGGCCTTGCCCTTTGGCAAAGGTCAGCGACTTCATCAACTATGACGACTCATCAAAGCCGGGTGCTGCCGCAAGGTGCGAACAGAACCTTGGACCGCATTAGATTGGCCCTACCTGGTATTGTGTATTGTTTGTTGTGAAGGTTGGAGATCCTAGAAGCATTGTTTTTGTGCAGGAAGGGCCTTCCGTGCAGCTTGGCAATGATCGATGGTTTGCTGGATGGCATGGGGCTGGACGATGCGGACCGCGTTCTGTTTGTGGACGTTCTTCCGAACACGCGCCTCATCTGTGCTGTGGTTAGTTGTTGTTTTACCCTTGTGATAGGCAATGCGTTGGCATTGGTTGGGGAAACATGTTAACGTGTGGATTCGCGTTGAATCAATAGCTTGTGGACCAATCCGAGGTACTGTGAGTTTGCGCGCGCGGTTGTGCAACGAGCTTGGGATGGCAGCGGCAGGAGGCTGCAGTACGTTGGCTTTTGGACCAAGGAGCAAGTTCAGAAGAACATGACTGCGTTGCGGGAGATTGTCTACAATGGGTGGGACACATCACCAGGAGCTCCACCTCCAAGCCGCCCACCAGACGAGTCGGCTGAGGCCCAGCAAACGCCCGAGCTGCAGCTCCTTGCTTGGCAGAACTCAGCGCCACATTGGCCTGCAACTTTGGACTCCAAGTTCCCAGAGGGCTCTGATGAGTTCAACCAGATTGCCCTGAAGAAGAAAGCTTTCCTGCAGCAGTTTCAGCCTGATGCGCATGCAGGTGGGCCGAACCGTGGCACTCCCAAACCAGGCCGAGCCGGTGGTGTTTGCGACTTCTCGGTCGATGACGGTGCAGAGCCATTTGATTTGACCAGACAGGTTTCCTTGGCGCATGTGGCAGACGCCGATTTTGTTGAGGGAAGGCCTGGTTATTATTTGGCATTTTGTTGTGAACTGAACTCAACCATGAGTACAATACAGGGATCGTTGCAGATTCCGCAATCTAGGTTTATGTGCTTTTGCGTGTCCCTCACGTGGCCAGGCTTGGATTTTGCGAAGGTAAGGGCAAACGCCCAGCAATTGCAATCAGTTCCGCGTACCATGTTTGGACTGGCAACCCTTGGGATGACGACATGAACTTTGAAAGCCAAGAACTATTTGGTTTTGGAGTTGGCGAATATGAAGAACGAGAAGTTAGAGCTTCGGCGTTTAACGTAGCGCATAATTTGCTAGTCAGTGTGTACCAAGTTGGTTCGGCTGAAAGCTTTGTGTGGTCAGGTTCTGAAATGTGTTTTCTTATACCATGTGTGCGAGACTTGGTTGGGCCGCTGTAGGAGATCTCGCGTTGGAGAAGAACGGCTTGGCGTTTCGGTTGCTGTCGGATATCAACATCATCAGTTACCAGAAACAGCCGCAAGCGCTGTGCCAATTCCTCAGGTGGCTTGCAATTGAGAAAGGCATGGGTGAGGTCAAGTTGGAAGACCATCGCGTCGCTGGCCGCTTCCACACAGCTTCATGGATGAAACATGAACGACTTGTGTTTGGCAGGATGCCGACAGTTGAACATTCCATTTTGGTAGGGTTTGACCGACCTTGGTATCTTGGTTCTGAGGCTGCAGATGGTCAAGACCCCCTGCCTGTAACGTTTCGCTACACTGTCGACCCGAAGGAGAATTTTATCACCCATGTGTTCCGACCCAAGGCTGATGGCATTGGCCGTGAGGGTGCGTCCACTACTTCAAGCATCAAACCCTCGGAGCAGTTTTCCACCAAAACTATGACAAAGTGATCTGCAACAAGAGGGCATCGACTGTTTGGGAGGCCATGTCTTTATCTATAGGGTTGGTTTGTAAGTTCAGAACTCTTGTACTCTTGGTGACAGGTGGACTTCGCCTCTTCTCCCCCGGCAGTGGTCGCTGCCAAGCCGAAGGTGTACTTACTGTGTTCTATCCATGTGCCGGCCAAAACCTGGGTGAAGCTGAGCTGATCAATCAGCAAAGCGTCGCCTGGTACAGTTCGCAACCAGCTCAGAAAGTGAACCTTTTATGCTGAAGCAGAGCGTTGCGAGTTCTCACGTGCTATCAACAAGTTGTCTCTACACACATTCCATATTCCCTTTTTCATTGGGCGGTTGTGTCAGTTGAAAGCAGGGTGAGTTGAGATCCTTGCGCAGACAATCTTCAGCGCAGCATCACAGAGTGGCTTTGATGGTGGGATGCGTTGCAACATGTTGAAATTAACCGCTGTGAATTATTATGTGTCATTGTTTGATCTTGTAGCGCCTTGCTACATTGCGCGCAATGATTGTTCCATCATGTCCTGTCCGGTCCCACCAGCTGGCCACCATATGCGTTAGCCTCTCGGAAGGAGTTGCTAACCTTATTTCTCCAGAATGCAGAAGCTGGCAGTTCGGATGTCTGTAGGATCTTCACGGCAAAATAACCAGGAGCTGAATATTATGGCTGACTTTGTTTGTTTAGAGTCAGAATGCGCCGGCTCCAACTTGTGATTTTTTGCAGACATGTTTTGCATCGTTGTGCTGATTGAGTCTTCGACATCAAGGACCATTGTAGCTTGATTGCTTTGGATATCACTCACGTTCTTGCTGTGAGCGCAATGCCC